GGACGGTTCGAGATGTGACACCTGAAAAAACTCCCCGGCTGTAGTCAAAGTCGGCCGTCGATACTCCTTGCCGTATATATTCAGGGTTAGGGGGCCAAGGTCAAGAGGTCACAATCAGCTAAAGAGGTAATTACTTCTTTACCTGATTCTGACCTTTTGACCTCGGCACCGACTACGATTATAATTGTAGCCGGTGCCGATGCTGTCGCCGTACCTCGCCGTCGCTGCCTTCCCTCTGCCAGATCTGAACAGTTGTTGACGCCTGACCTGCGGTGGATGCCACTGCTGTGCCAGTCGCGCTAGCACCGCCTTCCTCTCTCGATGGAATTCTCACGCTGGTGGTTGGAGTCGAGAACAACCGGTGTGTCCGCGCCCACGCAAGCGCTGGCCTGTGCTCCTCTGTGTTTGTGGCCCTGAGCCGCCGGTGTTAGCCGCGCATTCCTACGGAAAAGGTCGACGAAGAAAATGGGACAAAAGCTGAACGGCGCAAAGAAGCACGGGGAGGTTGCGTGCTTGGAATTGCGCCGAGTTGGCTGTAAGAGGAAGAGACGGACCGGAGAGCACACGCAGGTTACCGACGTCGGATTGACTCCAAAGAAAAGAAAGTATGGTGGGTTGGGCAGCCAACGCCGCCAAGAGGAAAGATTTGACCGGTGGTCGTGTCGAATTACTGGGTGGCGGCAAAAGGAGAGAACGTATCTGAGAAGACTTGCTCCGCGGAGATGGAGCAGTGAAAACTGCGCACGTGTGTAAGTACCAGATGTACGGTGCATCGCAGAATCATTGAGGAACAGCTTCCACAGGTCTTCATCCAGCATTGCTCATGGCTGATGGTGATTCCTATGGGAGAGGCGAGTAATTCTTATAAAATAAAAAAATATTTAGTTCATCAACCTATTGGCTTTTTACAGTTGTATTATCAAGCAACATTTGTTTAGGCAAGCAATGTCTGAACTGCCATCTGCATCCCTCATGGTCCAGTGCTGCAAGCTAACTATTTTTTTGATATTACCAGGTAGCTTTTTTTGTGACGCGATCTGGCCACATTATAGCCCAACGAAGTGGCTTATCGTTTGCCAATTTATAGCAGGTAATTAAACGAAACGCATGATTTAAAATCTGGAGGGAAAAACCTGACGACCTGAAGAAAAATCCACGCGGGGAGAACATGCAAACTCCAATTATACAGCAGGCGTCATTGTCGGTATCGAACCCATGACCACGAATCCACGACCTCTTGTATACCAGGCAAGGTAGTAAACATCTCGCCACCGCAGCGCCCCCTTCTGCCATCCATCTAACTCCTGCGCATGAGCTGATCTCATTGCTCCGTCTCCGTAGTGGTCATCCTCTCGTACATCCTTTCCCTCAATTGGCTGCCTTTGTGTTCACCAGCCTCGTCCTTCAGCCAACATTATTGGGATCTCCTTGGTAAAACAAAGAATTGGCCTCCACTGGTAGAAATGGTGGCTGTTGAACTAAGCCATCATTTGAATAACACGCCATCAGGTTTCATGGGCTGCCGTGGAACTGTGTCTGCATTCCAGGTCGCTTTTGAAAAAGGAGCTAATAGCTCATTGGGCCTGACCTGGTAAGATTAAACATAGTTTAGTTTGATTAATATAGGTACATATTTTATGCAATTCTTTTCGTATTTTTGTTTTGTTGTAACATTCTGACCAGCCCCGACTGAACATCTGTGAAAAAAGAGCTTTGTAACTCAATGGATTCATTCGGTTTAAATAAATATTTCGATTCTGAATTTCTAGTCAGCTGTGTATTAGCACTGAACAATAGTGGCCTGTTTGCTTCTCTGCTGCACGGCAGGTCAACAGCACAATGCACAGACGTCGTGCAGTACATTGTTCCGGACTCTTAATGCTGCTGCTTGTGCGCCGCAACCTCTCTAAGTCAGCCGTGCAAACGGCGACGAACGCTTGATGTTCGTCGCACAGCATGGTAGCACGCTCCCAGATGCAAAACTGCATCAACGCACATCGTGCAGCGTAACATTCCAGACCCTTGCGGCCGTGCCTCTTGCCGGTCGCGTCTTGCCACGCTTCCCCTCTCCCCCCACTCAAGGGGATTGGGAGTGGTTGGCGGTGATCCTTTTGGCTAAGTTGATCTCGGTGTCACCCAGGGGGTCTGCCCGAGGCTAGTGACAAGCGCCGCTCCCCCTGCAGTCGCGTGCTCGGTCCCCTCCTTTTCTCGTTATCCCCCCCACCACCCATCTCGCTTACCCCTGCCCGTCGCGTCCTGCCACGGCACGCGACGCAGGCAGGCGGGCGTTGTCGTCGTACTCAAGAGGTGAAAGTTCTACGCGCGCGACCGCATCGTCCCCCTGTCGTTGCGCAGCTCGGTCGCGAGCTGTCGGCTCTGAAATATTTGTGTCTCCCTCCTGTCGTTGAAATGCTATTGTGGACACTCGTCCCAAAGTGGGAAGTTGTGTTGTCTTTTTGTTGTTGTCGTTGTTGTCCCATTTGTTTGTAATTCCGTCCCTCTGGTACGCCGTTTGTGGTGCGTTTTTTGGAGTACCTGGTGCGGTGTGTAAACATCGCCACTGGGGAGACAAAGGTGGCTGGGCGTGTTGCTGACCACCCACCTCCTCGTGTGCCGTGCCGGCCTTAATAGGAGGTCGCAAATAGCAGTTGCCCCAAAAGTCAGTTCAGGTTATATGGGGGATCTTTGTCTTTGTATAGCATTACTGACAATGGGAAATTATTTAGGTTGGGTTATATTTTCCGGGGCGTCTTATTTCCTGAACTCACTGGGAAGCTGAAACAATAAGTATTGGAACGTTTAAATGCCGATACGCTTTTACAATTTAATTTGGTTGGCTGTGTCTTGCGACACAGATCTGGCCAAATCATTACGTGGCCTTACCAAAAATGTAATTGTGAATCGTAATGTTGGCTGCAAGGACCTACATGTTAAAGAATAACATTTATCATTTACAGCCCTTGGTCAATCCACCACTGGATGAACACCTCCCCACTAAATGTAGGTTGTGGGAGCTGTTTAACCATACTTTAGCATGCTGCTCAGTACAGGTTCGTAGATGGTGGGGGGGAGGGCCCCAAGTTCAGATGTCAGGGGTCGCCACGGGGATGCGATGTTATCTCCCTTACCTGGTATGCAGGAGGTCGTGGGTTCGATCCTGACCCTGACAACAATGCCTGTTGTATATTTGAACCTTATGGCGGGACACCGGGGTCCTGAATGAACGGAAGCCAAAATAGCAATTAATTAATTAATTTTTGCCGACTCGTCTCACCGCGCACATAAACGCCGCGACCCACCTGGCGCGGTCCATTCTGTTGTCGTGTCGTCCAAGCGCAGCGGCGAGGACTAATGCGCAGAAGAAACAATACTTTGATTAGCGCATCGTGTAGAGCTCGTCGAGAGGAATAGATTGCCGTATCGCTCGCCTTCAACAGATGTATAATGACGTCGCAACACAGTTTATGCGAGAGCCGGGGGCTTATGGGACCCCGGGGTCCCGCCATAAGGTTAATTTGTAGTTCCGTGTGTTATCGCTCTTCCCGTGGTTGCGCAGATTTTTCTCTGGGGCCCTCCGATTGGGCACCTCTCCGCATTTAGAAACAACACCAATTCCCACGCGTGACGATGATATCGGCCACTTCGGTGAGCTGTCATGTGTGGCCTTGTCGCCTCTGCAAAAGGGCTGATATCTCCATTGCTTTAACATAGTTTAGTTTGAGTTTCGATGTCTCTCGCCAGTGATGTTAGCCACGTTGGGTAATCAAACTCGGGGCGGTTTGGGATCGGAGTGCAGTTTCCGCATCACAGCTGCACCGCCATTTCGCGCCGATTGATCGGGAAATGGAATTAAGTTTTTGATGCGGCGTGTGGAGCATGCCTGGATTTTGCAGGAAGACTCCGTGACGTTACACAAAGCACTCCTCTCAGCGTTAGCGAGGAGCCGCTTACTGAAGGACTGCAACCAGGGTCTAACAATGCTCTTTGGGAGCAATTGCCACAGTGAAAATGATGTGTGTACTAACTCTAATGCTGAGAAAGGAGGGTAATTAAATTTATTAGCTTTTATCAAAATGGCTTTCAATTTCAAAGCCTTTCCACCTCTGTCTTGCTGCTATGTCAATCGCAAAAAAAAAATAATCATCTCACCTCGAGACAAGTAATTAATATTTAAATGAAAAAGGCAAACCTCTCTTGCGTTGATACGGGCAGCGTGCGCAAGAATATTTTTGCGTGAAGAACAAAAGCTCAATGGGCGGGAGGGGGGGGGTAACGGCGTGCGTAATTACGAGCCTTCACATTTTGCCGGTGAGAAGCCGGCGAAGTCGAGCGAAGAGGTGTGCGTCGACGGCATCGCCACTAGCTCGCAAGCGTGAGATAAAGAGGAGGAGGCGGCCCCTGTAATTGCTTGTCGTGCCATTTGCTGGCACTGACTTTTTTTTTTGACCTGGTGGCTTTCGCCGGGCTTTTGTGCACGTTTCACGGCACCTTTTTGTCAATCCGCTGCTGGATTTGAGCGAGAAGCCTCAACGACACAACCGCGGGGTCGTGCTGGGTTATTTGACCGTACTTCGCCATGCCGGTCGGTGCAGATTGGTGAAGGCGGGGGCGAGCCTGGGCATGGGAGCCTAGAGGTACAGTCCAGCGACGGTCGTGTTATACTGCCGTCTGCTGACAATGTAGCGCTGCAGTCCAGTGAACCTGTAGAATACCTTAGTGGTCACTCGTACAAGCATTGTCGAGGCTCAAACCCTACGTAGATTTTTACTTCTGATGAGACTGGGCATAAAAGCTGGGCAGGACCCTCCCGGCAAATGAGTCACGAGACTTGGTGGTGAGGTTTTGCTGGGTTGACGAGTGTAAGAACAACAGTAATGGTAATAATAATAGTTCTAACAGAAATCTGCAGTGATGTGGTCACTGGCCCAATGAGCTTTTGCCTGCTTCCCGAATGAAAGTGATTGATCGATTGTTTGCACTCTGTTGGTTTTATTCAACAGGCAAGACTCGGCTCCTCTCCCGGCGTTGCCCAGCAGGTTCGATGCCCGGTTAGACACCAGCTATCAGAGCCAAGCCATCTACACGTCCGCCATGTCAGGTTGGTACAGATAAGAATCCACTTTTTTCTCTGCACACACACAAATATAATGCTCCCTCGTTGAAGCATGTAGACTGTTAGTGAGCACCGTCTCAGGCTGGAACACCTGAAGACAGTGTTCATTGCAAGGCCCGCGGGCCTCTGGTGGCCCCTGGTGGCCTTTAGTGCGGCCCCTAACGTGCGGCCCCCGATGATACACACAACGAGTGAAGACACCTCTTGCAGGGCGGTGTGGCGGCCCTCACAGAGAAAGTGGCCCTCTTTAGAAAATTAGTGAAGAACACTGCCTCAATAAGTGGCCGCTCGGCTCAAGGGTCGGAGCACAGAACTCACGGGGAGATGGTTTCAGAGCGCAATGCCACTGCTTCCCACTGCAACAGGTAACTGGCCTGGACGGGTGAGGGTTTGAACAGGTGAGAGCCTGAAGAGGTGAGAACGTGGATAGGTGAGGGCCTGGATATGTAAGGGCCTGGACAGGTGAGAGTCTGGATAGGTGAGGGCCTGGACAGGTGAGAGCCTGGATAGGTGAGGGCCTGGACAGGTGAGAGCCTGGATAGGTGAGGGCCTGGACAGGTGAGAGCCTGGATAGGTGAGGGCCTGGATAGGTGAGGGCCTGGATAGGTGAGGGCCTGGATAGGTAAGAGCCTGGATAGGTGAGGGCCTGGACAGGTGAGAGCCTGGATAGGTGAGGGCCTGGATAGGTGAGGGCCTGGATAGGTCAGAGCCTGAATAGGTGGGAACCTGGATAGGTGAGAGCCTGGATAGGTGAGGGCTAGGTTAGGGTGAGGGCCTGGATAGGTGAGGGCTAGGTTAGGGTGAGGGCTTGGATAGGGTGAAGGCCTGGATAGGTCAAAGCCTGAATAGGTGAGAACCTGGACAGGTGGGAGCCTGGATGGGTAAGGGCCTGGAAAAGAGAGAGCCTGGACAAGGGAAGGCCCTGAACAGGTGAGCTGCTGCTTGAAGGTGGATGGTGATTGGATGCAGCGAATGTGAAACGGGGAGAGAGTTCCAGACGATGGGTGCCGCTACGGAGGAGCGCCTCTCAGCCAGGACGGTGCTGGTTATGGCTACGTTGAGCCGGGTTGTTAGACGCGCTCCGTAGGACGTGAGAAGGGGGGGGTGGGGAGGTATGGCGCGGGAGACCTTAAGCCAGAGCTCGGTCTGTAAAAAAAAGCTAATTTTTTGAATGCAGGACCCTCCTGAAAAAGCATCTTGAGACTCTGTGATTATTCCCTGAATCCTGGTGAATAACTGAGAATGTGGTAGGTGGGGGAGATACTCAATTGGAATTTGACATCGAGGTGTGGGGGGGGGCAGGTGGGGGGGCAGGGGGGGGTGGGCGGATGTTGAGGGGGGGTGTAAATGAGGCCAGCATTCGCCTCCTGTGACCTTTATATATATTTTTTTGAAGAGTCTCATTCTCAAAACTTTTTGACGGCTACTCCCACTTGGGCGTTGGGTTTAGCGTAAAGGTTAATGGCACGTGGGGAAATTGCACCGGGCGAAGCTTCCACGGAAGGTGCCCTAATTTACATGTGCAGCGCGCTTTTGTCCAACAGGTAATCTCGCACGGAATGTAATGCCGCCGCCGCCACCGCCTAGGAATATTGTAGATTGTCCCTTCGCACGATCTATCGCGGGCCCACGGTAATGGGCTTTAAAAAAAAAATCCACGGCAAGCCGTGTGACGTTTCATAAAATTCTACCCGCGCCATCACCCGATTGTTTGCAACGTGCGCGTTTCTCCTCCTCCGTGAGTGCGTGCGTGCGTGCCAGGTTTGTAAATGTAACCTCATCGGGGGGTTTTTTGGGGGCCGATTTCAACTTCATTGGAAGAAACGCCGCCTCGCTGAACGTGTTTGTTTCACGCTGTTACTCGTTGGTTTTCTTCGAGCAGCTGAGCTTGCGATTTGGTGGCATGGCGCAGTAGCTGTTCGCCAGACTTGACGTCTCCTCTGCTGCACCTAGTTAGCGGTTGGCTTCGTACGATGCGAAAGAAGTTTAACATACGTACATAATTGTTTGACATTTACCTAGCTTTGAATTAAATATTTTTTTTTTGCGTTAAGCCCCCACCGAAGGGTGGTGATGTCTCTTTTGTCAAGAGGGTCCTGCATTGGGATCTTGGGAATCCTAGGATCTTGGGGAGACTCTACAGAATCCTAACTGTACCGTGTTTAAATAAAGGTATCATTTAACATTTAAATAATGATTATAATGAGACCGCAGGTCGTACCGCACAGTTGAAATTGCTGGCAGCGCTGGCCGTATGACAAACCTTGTGCGTTGACACGACCGGCACAGTTTCACCAGTGTCTCTGGGCCCAGAAGACCTGGACCCGGTTTCCGGCAGATGTTCCGGATCTATCCTTGAATCTGAGCCAGTTTTGCAAAAGACTGTAAGTATTGTTATTCCAAAGAGCTTACTCTGTGTGTGATCGGTGTGGCGCATTCGTGATGGACCGGACGAGTAACAGTGCGCAAAAACAAATCTTCAGACTCGCTCAAGTTTTTGTTAACCGCAAAAATCTTGAGACATCTTCAATAGCGGCGCGCACAACAGAGGCACCTTAAGCGATCGCATTTGATACGACGACGCGCATCGCCAGCGCCACGGCCGGGCGCGTGCAGGCCTAACCCGGAGCAGACTCTTGCAGTAAAATCTTCCACGCTGCCAAGCGTGAGTGGAGGTTTATAGACCCAAACTTCTGTGGTAATTGTTTTATTAATGCAATTAAGCCTTTGTAGACACCCCGTGTCCTTCATCGAGCGAAATAGGAGGCGGCCCATCAGCTCGAAAACACGCTTAGAACGACGACCCCTCACGTTTTTTAAACGAACATTTTTGAACGGTAAATTACTGCCATTGCCTGAAACTCGTTACTATGATTCGTCACATCCAAGGGGACGTTCGCCAAGGAGATGGGCGATTTATTAATTCCACGTGCTGGGTGCATTGTTGAAATGCAGGATCGTTGCGGAGGTGGGGATTGGGGTTGGCGGCGGCTTCATCCAGCAGTGGATCGACCGTGGCTGCTGCTGATGATGATGTTACCCATTATTCACTCAGTCTCTTCTCAGACCGGGATTAATGCGGCATTGTGAGCGAAGCGTGAGATCGTGTCTTCTCCTAACCACCAGCTTGTTTTCTCGGTTTTTTTTTTCCGTGCGAAGGCGGCCACTTTAAAGCTATTAGCGCTGGAGATTTGATTTTGCAGGAGCCGCAACTAGGCATTATTGCCCAGCTTGCGGTGCTAAATTTATAGCGATAGGTCTTGTAATTAATGAGCCCGTCAAGCTAGATGTATATGCAGTGTACCCTCGGCCCCTGGTTGTGCGTACAGCCTTGCTTGGTTTCCAATTAGCATTGTGCTCAAATAAGTGCTGTTTATCTTGGTGAAAGAAGGGTTTGCAATGTTGATAGGATCGATGCAAAATATCTTTCTCCTGAATTAAAAACATTATCACGGCACGTATATTTAAACGTCTTTGACAAGTTTTTTAAATGCATGTACGGACACGCTGAAATTAAATGTGGATAAACCTGCGTTGATTAGTTGTGGTGAGGTGTGATAAACCAACCTTCGTGACCAACACGACATGCTGAGGCCTTCACCCAGGAGTAGATTGGCACAGGCCTCTCGGTCAAACTGGGCCGGCTGCCTCAACGGGAGTGAGCGGCTGGCGGTCGGAAGTTTGCGACCCCAAATGCTGCTTGCGCATCGACTCAGTCCATCTTCCCTCAAGGGCGAATAAAATAGGTACCACTTTGTGTGGGGGAAATCGACAGTGGTTGTCCGCTGGAGAGATTCGCCCTCACCCGAGGAAAATGGAATTTCCATCCCTGCTTCAGGGTTTGTAAACGTGAGATCATCACTGCCTCTGCTCACTTCAGCAGGAAATCATTTACTTTTTTGCAAAGTAAAAAAAACAATGTTTTCTGCCTCAATTGGTTTCCTAGTGGCCGAGAGATATTCAAGTGCGGCCAAACTGCCACTGGGCAGTGCTTGCCGCAGGCTTGGTACCGCTGGTAATAATGTGTGCATGTTCATAGGTGCACACAGCAGGCGCCGGGGGTGCCTGCAAACAACATCGGTTTCATCCGCAAGAATGCGAGTGCCTAATTAAATAAACGGATTATTTGAATTTAACAATTAGCCAATGTTTCTGGGGCTGTAAGTGGTCGGAGAAATGAGGAAAAATGCCACCAAGGCCCGAAATATACCACCCAAAACTAATCGCTTAATTTTTTAACTTTAATTGAGCGGCACTGAATTTGAATCGCTTGCGAACGCGTTGCCGGGTGTCTGGCGTTCCACCGCGGGTTGATGCCCCTTTCATTAGTTTGACTCGGTGGGCAGTAGCTGCGTTATCCTCTTTAGCTTCGCCCAGCAACGCTCGTTTGGCAACGGGTTTCTCCTCGAGGCGGCCGAGCGTTCATAAACGCTCGCTGTGGGTCCATCTGCTGTTGAAGCAAAGGCATAACCGAGAGGGCCGAGCCTTGTCGCGCCGCGCTCTGTTAGCGTCGCCCCCCCCCCCCCCCCCCCCAGTCGAGCCCCGCAAATGAGCAGCCATCGAAGGAGCAATTTAATTGTCATCGTCATCATCATCATCTTTCCCTTTCATCACCTCATAAGCGACGATGGAGCCGAGTGAATTTCTGCCACGTCTTTCTCTCTCTCTCTCTTCAGCCAGTTTCAATTCTTCAAACAAACTCTTCATCCACCTAGTTTACTGTCTTCCCCTACTCCTGGTCCCTTCCACTTTTCAGTGAATTGCCAAGTGCAGGCTCTTGTCCAGAATGATTCTCGTAACTTGTCCGAACGCCCTTTGGCTTCGTCACTCATAACTGTTTTCCTGTGTTTGTCGTTTTTCAGTCGCTGTGGTCTCTTGGGAATTAATGAATACTTTATTAAGCCAAGCTAGACCCCACCGCGCCATCCGTGTGGACGTTTTGAGTTGTGCGCCCCGTCATATGAGCGCGCGTGTCCCATGCCTTC